CGCGCCCCGGGGCCCCGCTCCGCGGCGCAGCGCATGGAACCCGGCGGGGACCACCGGAGCCGGAGCGGCGGCGGCAGGGGCGGCCCCGGGCCAGCAGTGGCCTCGGCACGGGGCCGACGGCTGCCGCCCACCGTGCCGCGAGGCGGCGCGGAGCCCGAGGAAGACGACGGCGGTAAGAGCGGGTCCGGCGGGCGGGGGGCCGCGTGGGGGAGGGGAGGGCTGCGGCTCCGGGCCCCTCTCCGCCGCCGAACAAAGCGGGGGACGCGGGCAGGGCGGCCAGGGCGCCACCTGGCGGGCGCGGATCGCGGCTGCAGGGCCGGTGGGGGAGCCCCCCGCCCAGCTCCCGGGGTTGGCCGGTCCGCGGGCCTCGGGCGGGTCCCCTCCCCTTGAAGGGGCCCCGCGGGGCCCAGTTTTGGGGGCCCGGGCCGGAGGGGCCCCACAGGGCCAACCCAGCGGTCTCCACCCCCGCCCCTTTCTCTTTCAGACGCCCAGGTGGTCTTTCTTATCCAGCTGTCTCCTAAAGGCCGCCCACATCCTGTGTGCCCTCGGGCGCTTTTCCCCAGTGGCCGAGCTCCGGACCCCACAGCTTTGTGTCACCCGGCCCCTTTCGTCCTTTGGCCTTGGCAGAGCCGGGAACTCTTCCCCCGCGTTCTCCCTCCGGGAGCGAGTGGCTTGCGCCCCGGGCCTCCACCGCTTCCCCCACCGCGGGCAGGTTTTAAATGAGGGCTGGCTTCGCCCACAAAGACAACCCCTTCCTGCCCGTGCAGGGTCTGTCCTTTTCAAAATTTATTTTGGCCCCAATTTGTCATCTGTAGCGGGACCAGCCAGCCCTTGTTGGCTCTCAAAGGAGAACGTTTCTTCCTTCCCCTGCGGCAGGGTCAACGCCTTAAGACCCATGAAGATTGGGTCTAGGCTTGGGAGACTGCCCCAGTCTCTAAGCTCCCCTCCCAGAAACTCCCCATCCCCTTTTGTTTTTAAAGAATCTCAGCTCCTCCTCTTTTTTTTGGCTCTTAAAGGGCTAGTGTGCCTTAGATTAGCCTAGCTCCAGCGCTGGAAGGATGCTTGGAGACCAGCTAGCTAGCTATCCAGTGCCCTCATACACAAAGCCACTGTGGCCCAGAGAGCAGAGTGACCTGCGAAAGGTCGCAGAGCAAGTTTCCAGTGAAGCTAGGACTCTAATCGTGTTTTTTTCTATGGATTTGCTTTTAAAAATGAAAACTGAAACAAAAAAAATCCTCTACAATGTGATAGGAGCCCTCTCTGGTCCTGCCTTTTGTTTAACTGACCTGGGGTTCTCCACTAGCAAAATGAACAGAAAGAAGCTACTCATTCACTCTGGCCGGAAGAGCATTTTCTAAATAAAAGGATCAGGACTGAAGGAAGGGTTTGGGACTGCTCTGGGTGTCCCTTTGACAAAAGGAGTGTCCCTAGGTTTTCAGGGCCCCTCCAGTACACGCCCTTCTGATTGCTGGGCAGTGGCTGGCCCCTTGTCAGAACAAAAAAATAAATCCCCAGAAAGACTTAATGGGCTTCAGTGGGTGGTGGCCACTCCCTGCCGCAGTTATCTTCAGTGGCCACTCTGGTGGCCCTCTTGCCATCCCTTCTCACGGTCACTGGCTCTCCCAGACTCTGGGGAATCCAAGTCTCAGAAACTCCTTTTCTTGGAGGTGTTGACAGCTTTGTCCTGGGGATCCCTGTGTTTGAGGAACTGGCTGCATAGTTCTTCCCTGAAATGGGATGCTCAGGAGGCTGTATTGGAGGCATTACTGGGAAAAGGGAGATGACCTTTGGGTGGGGCCCTCCTGGCAGAATGCAGACAGTTGCCCCCTTTGTTCCTCTCGCCCCACTGCCTGCTCTGAACCAGCTGTAACCGCCCCAGCCCACTGCTCTCCTGGCTTTATCCTTACAGCTTGTCCAGAAAGGGCACCTTACAGAGCTGGCTGCCTCCTTGGCTCTCATCTTATTTTTTAAAAGTCACAGTCTGCACAGTGCCCTGCATCCTTTTGTTCTTGATCCTGTTTGTAAAAGTGTTTTTACTCCCTGCTTCTCCTACATCCCTTTTATTACTGTTGCCATCCCTTCCCTGCCCTGAACACCCCCTCCCCCACCTCCCTTTCTTAGCCTTCCAAGTCAAAGCCCTGGGGTTTTTTTTGCCTGGAAATCAGAGATTGAAAAGCTGTCTCCCTTTCCCCTTCTTCAGGACAAGATCTTCAGCTGGAAGGGGGTGCCTTGGGGTCCTGGGGGAATACCCCCCTGCCCTCCAGGGCCAGGGGACCAGCATCTTCAGGCAGGAAATACACAGACCATTGTGAGGCCCGGGCCTCCAGGCCTGGAAAGAGCCGAATCCCTGGCCGTGACCACCGTCGATACTACCATGACCACTGGCGGCTGGAGTACTTGATGGACTTCAACCCTGCCCGGCATGGCATGGTGTGCATGGTGTGTGGCAGCTCCCTGGCCACCCTCAAGCTCAGCACCATCAAGCGGCACATCCGCCAGAAGCACCCCTACTCCCTGCATTGGAGTCCCCGGGAGAAAGAAGTCATCAGCAACAGCTGGGATGCCCACCTGGGGCTGGGGGCCTGTGGCGAGGCCGAGGGCCTGGGGGTCCAGGGGCCTGAGGAGGAGGAGGAGGAGGAAGAGGAAGAGGAAGGGGCCAGCCTCCCAGCTTGCCCACCCAAGGGCCCAGGTAATGCAGGATGTGAAGCAAGGGCCTGGATGTGATGAGGCCAAAGTAGGCAGCTCCTCTGCCTGCTATCTTATTTTCTGCAGCAAGTTAATGGTCCTCTGGGTGGGGTCTGTTTATTGCCCTTATTGCCCTATAGTGTATGGGAGAGGAAGATGGGGGAATCTCCAGTGTCCCTGACATCTTTGACAGTCTCTAATTTTACAGGGATAGAAGAGACTAGAGTTTGGGGATCAGATGGGAAGGGCTGGGGTCAGTGGGAGAACAGGAAGGTGCTGCCCGTGAAGCCCAGGGAAAGGGCCAGAATCTGGATTGGGGAGGTTGGGTGGAGTTTAGAGCAGGTGTGCAAGAGGATTAGGGATGTGGGGGTAAGATTATGAAGGGAGAGGAAGAGAAGGGCAAAGGTTAGGTGTGGGACCTGAGTTGGAGCCAGTGAATGAGAGGCTGTGGGGGCTCCCCACAGGGCCAGCCTCTCAGGTGCTTCCCTCCAACCCTTTCAGGCAAAACCTCAGCTGGTGGGGGCTGCCGGCGTCAGCGGCGGCGAGGGGGCCCAGTGGGATCCCGGCGCCAGCGACACTCAGCCTCCCGGAGGGCCAGGGGCAGCAGGGGCCTGGGGGCCCGGCGCCTGGAGAGGAGGCTGAAGGAGTCCCTGCAGACCTGGTTCCGGGCTGAGTGTCTCATGGACTATGACCCGCGGGGGAACCGGCTGGTGTGCATGGCTTGTGGCCGCGCACTGCCCAGCCTGCACCTGGACGACATCCGTGCCCACGTGCTGGAGGTGCACCCCAGCTCCTTGGGGCTCAGTAGCCCCCAGCGCAATGCCCTGCTGCAGGCCTGGGGTGGCGAGCCTGAGGCGCTGTCTGAGCTCACTTGGCCCCCAGCAGGTGCGAGGCTGTCCCAAGGCTGAGACTCCTTCACATTAGGACAGCAACCCCGGGTCTACGGCAAAAACTGGGAGGCAGGGACTTCTGACTAAAGGCTGAAGGCCTACCAATCCGTACCCTTAGACCTGAGGCCACCCTTACGCTCTAACGTGTACACATTCACTCTGGCTGAGGCCTCTAGCTTGGGGCTGGGGTGAGGAACAAGGATGGACCCCCCCCTCTACGTGGGTAAGGGCAATACAGCCAGCAGGCTGAGACCCTCTCCCTCACCCCTTCCCCAACAGACGATGACCTCGCCCCCCAGGACCTGACCAGAAAGAGCCGGGACTCGGCCCCCGCTGCTGGAGCCCCCTCCTCTGGGGATTTCAGCCCCCCAGACGTAAAGGAAGAGGCTGGCTGGGTCCCTGAGAGGCCCGGGCCCGCAGAGGAGGAGGAGCAAGAGGAGGGAGAGGGAGAGGGGATGCGGGCAGGGGGCCCAGGCCGTCCGTCCCGGGGCCGGGAGCGTTGGCGGCTGGAATACCTGCTGGAGCTGGACGGCGGCCGGCGCGGCCTGGTGTGCATGGTGTGCGGGGGTGCGCTGGCCTCGCTTGAGACAAGCGCAGTCGAGCGGCACGTGCGTCGGCGCCACCCGGGCACCTCGCGCCTCGGCGGGCCTTTACAGGAATGGAAAGAGAAGGGCGCACCCCTGCTGGCCCTGAGGCTGCCTGGCCCGGAGTCCCCTCGGGGCCCCACAGATTCCCGAGCCGCTGCGACCTCCGAGGCAGGGGAAGGGGTGGAGGCGTCGGAGCCGGAGGAGGCTTGGTGGGGTGAGCCGGTGGGGGGTTCGGCTGGGGGGGCACCCCGAAGATGAGGCGTGGGCCTGGCCCGCTCCGCCTGGTTCCAATGCAATCCTTTGTCCCCTACCCCAGGTGACGTCCTGCTGTCCACTGGAGCTCCGCTGGAGAGGTCCGCCGAGGAGGAGGACGACGAAGAGGACGGCCAGGAGCCGGCGGGTCTGGCCTTCCCTCCCCTGCCGCCTCCGCCGCCGCCCCCGCCGCCCCGCAGCCGGGAGCAGCGGCGGAACTACCAGCCGCGCTGGCGGGGCGAGTACCTGATGGACTACGATGGCAGCCGGCGCGGCCTCGTGTGCATGGTGTGCGGAGGCGCGCTGGCCACGCTCAAGGTGAGCACCATCAAGCGGCACATCCTGCAGGTGCACCCTTTCTCCATGGACTTCACGCCCGAGGAGCGCCAGACCATCCTGGAGGCCTACGAAGAGGCGGCGCTGCGCTGCTATGGCCACGAGGGCTTCGGCTCGCCCGCCCCGGCGCCGCGCGACGGCGGCGCGGACCTCAAGCCGGGCGCCGTGTGCCGGGCGTAGCCTACTCTTGCGCCGGGCCGGGCGGGGTCTTGTGGGGCGGGGCGCAGCGCTCTTGTACTGGTGCTTCCTAGGCTCCCCTCCCCCGCCGCTGCCGCGCCCCCCGCTGGCCGGGCTGGGCGGATCTTGGGGACTGGGGCTCTAGCTACTTAGGTGTCCGAGCTGGGAGGTGCTCTGCGGGAGGCGCCTTCGGCTGTGGAACCTCGGCGCTCCCCTCGCAGGGCCCCACGGTTTCCGATCAGCCCGAACCCCGAGCGGCCTCCCAACTGCTAGCACTGAGCGCTTCCAGCCCCGGCCGCGCCCTCAGGCGCTCCTCTGCCAGGACGGGATGGGGGCGCCGTCTGTCAGTATTAGGGCCGAAGAAGGGGACGCGAGGAGGGCAGGAAGGACGTGCCGGCTCCTCGCCCTGGCCGGGGGCCCAGGTCTCCGTGGCCTTCCTCGCCAGCAGGCGCGGCTCCTGGCTCTGGGCTGCTGGTTGCCCTGCCCTTACTGGTATTCTCGGCCTCTTGGAGGCCCCGGCCGCGCACTGGGGCCCAAGGCAGGAGGCGGGGCGCCGGGCTCAGGGGCGGGGCCTGGGCCGGGCCAACTGCGCCTGCCCCTGGCGGCTCCGCCCTCCTCGGGTTGCTGCCCCGCCCGCCCGGGGACAGTGCAAAAGGATTAGCACTTTTTACCTAGGCTCTTCTACCCCGGGGGACTCTGTTTACTCTTAAACTGAATTTTGGCGTTCTTGGCCCAGTGCCAGGTCCGTCCGAGTCCGGGGCACAGGCGGTCCCGGCGGTTGGCCTTCCCTCTACCCCTTTGTCCTCGGTGGACATGCCACCCGTTCTCAGCTCCAGGGGCCTGGGGCCGGGCCTCGGCCTCCCTTTCTCTTCTCTGCGGCCGCGCCGGGCACTGCGGGGCGGGGAAAGGGCCCCGCGACCTCCCAGGCAGGTCCGAGAGGCATGTGTAGATTCATTCTCCCGTGGAGAAAAGGCGGCCCCGAGATCAGGCCCTTTTTTGCTCTTTGTATTTTATTTTGAAACTATTTAATGCTTTTATATGAAGGGGGAGGGGCGGGAGAAAGCTGACCCATTCACCCTTAACGTGCAAATGTCTTATTTATTATGCGTGTATCAGAGATAAGCTGTGAGGGGATGGAGGAAGGACCTAAGTGGAGGAGGTGCGAGGGAGAAGCAGAGATGGGAGGACACTAAACGTCCCAGACTCTGGCTGCCTCGCCCCTCTGGGCCCAAGAGTTGGGAAGCCATTATGGGGACAGCGCCCTGTTTTAAACGTTAGGGTGGGGAGGCCAGGGGCTGGACTCCGGCGGGGAGCGGCCCTCCTGGCTACTGGGACCAGGGACTGCCTGGGTACTTGAGAAAACAAGGCAAAGGAGTCCTTTGTCTTACCCCTCCAGGCCAGAGCCCACGGTTCAAGTGCCTCAGGCCCAGTCCCCTTGACTTCCAGATTGAGAATTGCATTTTATATCACAGGTTTTATAGCATTTTTATATAATTCAAGATTGTGACAATTGGATGGGACCCTGGAGATCACTATAACCGCCCCTCCCCTTTCAAGGAAAGGGAGAATTCCAAAGCCCAGAAACCGAAATTACCACACAGCCAGGTAGGAATAGTACAAGAGCTAGAATTAAAAAAATCTTTTAACTCCCAGTTCAGCGTTCTTTGCACTATACCACACTGCCTCCCAATCTCTGATGTTATTAAAATTTCTTCACCCATTAGGCCCACCAAAGGGTGCCATGTGTTGGGCACTGCAGGCACCACTGCGCTCTTCCGACTCCGAAGGTGGCAAAGAAGTGCTGACCTCTGTGGGACAGCTCTCGCCACTGTAGGCCTCAGCAGAGGTAGGCCAGCAGCCCCTGGCCAAAGTCTCCCCAGCAGGACAAGCCTATGGCCTAGTGGCAATCAGGAACCCAGGAATTGGTTGAAAAGTGAATTCTGAGTGAGGCTGGAGTTCCTGGGTTTTTGACAGTATTAGAAATTCAGAACAGACTTAAGGATGGCACCAGGCTGGGGGCTCTGCCATTCTTTTATTACTTTCCTTCATGCATACTGCTTTCACACCTAGAATGAGTACTTTTTTTTCTACATTATTGGTTCAAAACCAAGCAAATTGGGCCAACTGATTCTAATGATCCAAGCCCATTGCTGAAGTGAGCACCTGCCCTTAATAGGGAGGCCTGAGGCCCAGTGGATGTCTGGTCTTCACTGAGACAGCCCCAAGCACTACAGTGGCTTTCAAAGTGCAGCCTCTGGGATGGTAAAATATTAGGAACTTGGTAGAGGTGTAAATTCTTGGGCCACCCTGAGTTTACTGAAAGCAAACTGGGTGGGGAGCCACCAATGCATTTTGACAGGCCGTCCAGTGGCCCGGGGCAGCTTTGGCCATGGCCTCAGGTGCAGTGATCCCTTGTGACTGTAGCCTCACATTAGGGGGCAGGGTGTTAGTTGGTCCTATCTCTATGTATGCCTCATCTTGGGATTTTGATATGAACAGGAAGTTTTGATAAAAACATGAAGTTTCATGTTTTTTTTATTTTTTTTTGGTTAATGGTTTGCTTGCTATTATGGCCAATATGTAAATGGTTACTCTGAACACATATTTATATACCTACCATGTTACTTAGTGACACTATCCCAACATTTGTATGTGTATTTGTGAAGTTGTTTGCATCAGTCATTTAAAATTTTTTTCAACCTAAATTTTCTAAGAGTTGAATAAATTTTTAAAATGCAGCTCAAGTCACAGCAGCCTTAGTTTTCGGGGCAAGAGCAGCAAGGAGTTACTGAAGCAAAAATCTATGTGGTGACTGACTCAATTTTAGTGCTTTGTGGCTGCCTGTGGTTTATACAATGCTTCATGTTGCAATCCAGGAACCCTCCCAAGCTGGTGTGAGGCTGAACCAGACCCCTCTGGCCCCTCTATCCTTGTCATCTATTTCTCCTGAGCTCACCTCTTAGAGGTCCTCTGTTTTCTTTCAGAAACCAGATTGCACAACTGTGCTCTATACTATGGAAATCCTGCAATCTTGGGAATCCATATTATTTTTTAAAGCCTCCAAAGTGAAGTGAGGATGGAGGGAGCAGAATCCTTGTTCAAGTCTTTACCCAAACTGTATAAAGAATAAAGTTAGGAGAATGACACCACAGTCATTGTGTTCTTTATTTTAAATTAACCACATCAATTTGCAGCTTTACAGGAACCAAGATTCAAGCTCCTTGGGTGCTACTGTATTTTTATGTTGCACTCACAGACACACACACACGATTTCATCAGTAATTTGTCTATAGGTTTTTCTTAAAAAAAAAAAAAGATTCCTGTGTGGAATAAAGATCTCTCCAATTATCTTAACACAGCAGCAACAAAAGGAAAGAGCCAGGTATGGCAGCTTCCAGTACACAAAGATCCTTTGGAGGGGGACCACCAGTGCACTGACTTCTGGGAGGGCAAAGGATAGCAATGGAGAGTGACTTTCCTACTACCACAGAAAATCAATTAAAAAATTCAAAAGGAAATGAGGCTGAGAAAATGGAGTAAGGCAAGGGTACCTTTTACTCATTTAAATTCCTAAGTAATTTTTCCAAAGAGTAGAAAGAAAATTCCTTCCACCACTTTCTGAAGAGTTGCAGTACTCTGGGACCATCAAGTATTGTAGCCTTTACTTTAGAAGTCCCAGCTCACAATCCCTTCTGAATGGCCAGGATTATGAGCTACATACAACCTGAGAACTCCTTTGACTACTTCTGAGTTGACTGAATTCCATGTGGAAGGGCAAGAAGAAATAGTCCCAGTCCCATTCCACACAGCATCAATATGAGTTCCTCTGTTGTCTTTCAGTTGTATAAAGTCCATCAACACAATTTGGCCCTGCCTGGTCACCCTCACTAAAACTGCCTGGAAAATACTCTCCAAAGGAGCACCCTGGGCCACAACAGAGGTGCTGAGCCATTTTATGAAAATGGAAAGAATCCTCACAATAACACATACCCATAAGGTAGCTTCAAAGCAGTTACAACTCCACATGGACCACAAATGCACATGATCTTCTCTCAAGCCAGTCTGGCTTTGGTCCTTAGGCTAAACTGACGAGAAATAAATGCTAAAGATGCAGCATGTGAAAAGGAAGTGGTAAGGAAAAGATAAGAAGGCTTTTTGTGTTTCAGTAAGTTCATCTCGAGAATGTTTCCCCCCCACAGGCTGAGTATTACAATAACTGGGGAGCACACATGCAGATTATTTTTTCTCTAACAAGTTTACAGCAGTGTACAGCAGTTACAGACATTTATTTCATAATAAGGAAAGTATAACCATATTTATTAAACTCAAGGTGAGGTGGGCAAGGAAGAAAGGGGGAAGCACATTCGAAAACATGTTCTCCAATGAATGCTCAGAATTGGCATCCAAGAGAAATGAATGACAGGGATACCTCCCGCCCAGCCAGTGGAGCCTTTCCCTCCCCAGAGATGAGCAGCAGGGTCAAGGCAGCCCAGGCTGTGCTCCTGCCCCTGCCACTGCCGACTCCCTCCCTTCACCTATCCCAGGTTCTCTTTCCACTCTAACTTCTCAGATAGCATTGTGGGAATCAGGAATTACCATTACCACTTATAAGTTACTCAGAGTTGGAAGTTATCATTATAAGAGGAGGAATATTAGGAGTAGCTGCTCACAGTATGAGGCAGGAAGATGGGATTGGAGGGCCTCCAAAAACCCATCGGAAGGAATCCCACTCCTGACCTCAAACAGTTTCTTCATAAGTTAATTAATTATTTCTTAACTTAAAAATAAGGGTGAAACTACAATGGATGCTGTGTAAGACTAGTCCTTGAAAACTGGATAGAAGGACCTGAGAAATATATTCTAGCATTAATTTTCTCACCTTTGATTTCTCCCCTTTCATGCTACAGGTAAAAGCTCTATCACCATTAAGGTATGATTTAGTCTACTAATTTGATTCATTCTTTATTCTTTTGGGCTCTAAGATATCAGTTCTTTTTCCAATCCAACATTTCTTGTGCTTGATACTGAGGGTAAAGAGAAAGGAGGGAAGAAAACACCAAATTAAAAAAAAGCTTGGAATGCAGGCTCAAGCTGACACTGAGCATGTTCCTTCACGGTACAAGTAATGACGTTGTAGCTATTAAACGGTGTTTTAGTAACTGTTGAATTTCTGGTTTCCATGGGCTTATTCGGCCTTTTTTTTGGCGATTCCAGGGAGTTTTGCTTGGATTCTACGAGAAAAAAGAAACAAGGTAAAAACATAAACATTTGTTCTAGGTTTCTATTTTCTTTTTTCTTTTTTTAGGTTTCTATTTTCACAGTGATGCTAGGAGACAGTCTGGACTTACTGCAGCAATGTGCAAAACACAGGGATGGGTGAAGAGAGGCAGGGGCTATGAGCTGTTCTGGTATCTGCCTGGCATGAACCTGAGAGGTGCACAAAGATCCATCTCACTCGCCTCTCTGCTGTGCCTGCTCCTTGTTCACTGCCAGGAACCCTGAGGTCCTTCAGAGGGGGCTCCAGAAAAGAATGGACCCAGGTATGATGACTGCTGACTATGCACTACACACCAGGAGTGTGAAAGCCCCTTTCTTTGGCTCTGTGCGGCACAGAAAAAGGGACTGCAGATCACCTACCTACTAATGCCAAAAACTAACTAGAAGTCAGGGTGATGGAGGCATGGAGGAACCAGTAGTCCTGGTTCTCAGGACTAAGGATCTGGTTACAGTTCCCAGCCTCTGTCACAGGACAGCAAAGCTGTCCTTATATCTGTCAAAGAGGTCATCCAAACTCCACAAATGTCACATCTCCCAGCAGACATTCTAAGTCAGATAATATTGGCAATCAAGGTATTAGGTCTAAAACTGAGCTACAATCATCTTTCCCAATTGAGTAAGGAAGGATAAATAGTAACCAGATACATATTTGTGCTCATTTAAAAGCAAAAAATCAGGTGAAGATTGTGGCATTAAGCTAGACTTTCCTGGATATATTATATTCACTTTCCTTTTCTTTTTTTTCCTTTTTCAGTGCTGAGGATAGAAGCCGGGGAATCACACATGCTAGGCAAGTGCTCTAACACCAAGCTATTCCCAACCTATTCAGTTTCTTCCTGATAAACCTGGAAAAAGCACTAAAATCTGGGGTGTGAAAGGGACTCAAGCAGCACAAAGGGGATTTAACAGTTTGTGGTACTTTGTTTCTTAAAGATTAGCTGAAGAGGGAGCTGGGGATTTAGATCAGTGGTTCGGGCGCCTGCCGCACAAGCTCAAGGTCCCGAGTTTGATCCCTGGTACCCAACCCCCCCCAAAAAAAACAGCTGTAGAAAACAAGGAAAAATGTTAATATTTTAATTCAAAGTGTTGGGTTCATATTATTTGTTATAAATAATTCAAAAAGAAAGACCCTCCTTGATACAGTGAGTCATAAAGATGCTTATTAATACTTTATTACTTGGTTTAAGTATCCATTGGTTACAAAGGGAAAACAGACGGATACGTAGTCTTAGGAAAGACTTAGCTTTAAGGCTGTTATTTATTTACTGAGAGAGGGAAAAGTTGGGCTTTACATGGATATATATGTGAAGGGGGGGAAATGAGAGGGGCAGACAACTAAGAACATTTAAAAGTTAAAAGTGTCCTAATTCCACTGGTCCATTTTAATCTAAGGTACAGAGGATTTTTTTTTTTGCTATTGGGGATCGAACTCCGGTCCTTGTGCTTGTGCAGCAGCCGGTGAAACCACTGAGCTAAATCCCCCGCCCAGGTACAGAGGATTTAAAAAAATAAGCAGCTAAAATAATTTTTAGTAAAATAAAAATATATTAACCAAAGTTTTGGGGATAAAAATTACTATCTTTGGCAACAGTATTTCATAGAGGGTACAAAAATAATCAGGGGAGTTGGGCATGGTGGCACATGCCTATAATCCCAGTACTAAATTTGAGCCCAACCTGAGCAACGAGAGGAGAGAGAGGGACAGACAGACAGACCAAGGAAAATAAGCACCTATCATAGTGAAATGTTCCTAAATGTACTTACTTTTCAACAATTGACTTGGTCTGATCTCGGGCTATGCCAACATAGTGATCAATCTGGGTCTTTTAAGGAAGGAAAGAAGACTCAGTTGGGGCAACACATAGTTTAACAATTTTCCTAAAGGCACTACATTTTTAGTTTAACCACTGAAAAATATTCTCAAAAATGAAAATAATGCCCAGTTTTTCAAAAACATTTTTAAAACTTCTAGGTTCAGATGTCAGATTATGCCATAATTTGTTGAGAAGTGAAAATCACTCATCTTTTACAGAGGTAAGGATAACTTGGTAGGTTATTTCCTTTGGAGACACTGGAATCTAAATTTTCCGAATACTAGAAATTGTGTCTTCTGTAGTCACAAATGTGTTAAGACTCCTGAGTAAGACTAATTTGTTTAATATCAAAGCCAAAAAATCTGCTGACAAATGGCTTAATCCAGAAAATAACTTCACAGCATCTAGCATCTCTGCACACATGTCACAGTACAAACATCCGTTCAAGCTAATTCCTGTAATAGCCTACAGTTTAAGTTTCTTTTCAGACACTCAGCTTTTATTCATTAAACATTAAAAAAATTCATTTTCTTTTGTATGAATGCAATTGTGATAAAAACTCAAAAGGCATACAAAGTACAAAAAGTAAGTCTTTCCTATGCATATATATTCTAGGTATATAGTTTCCCTTGCTGGAGGAAACCACTGTGATCAGCTTCTCATAAGCACTTGACTTAAAATGAACTGAAACTAGCCATACATCAACTAGCAGATTTGATTTGGAACATATGCCTACCTTGTACTTCTCATAGATAATTGGGACGCTGAAAACAAGCAGCTCAGCTGTAAGAATCATGGACAAGGCAAGTATGAATGTGAGTCAGTCAAAGTCTCAAGACTCAAAGTAACACACATGTGCTTCCTTATGAAATATATGGAGACAGATCTTCCTCAAAATAAGGAAGCCTGGCTAGAGCTCCCAAATAAGGACAGTTAGAAAAGAAAGCTAATTCATAGTACTCCAATAATAAACACACAAACAAACCTCTCCAAATACTCGGTTGCTTTTTTTTTTGTACCACAGATAACAATTTCCAAATTATGGGGCTTTCTATAAGATCCTTGTATTTAGGGCTGGGGATTTAGCTCAGTGGTTTTGCTGCCTGCTGCGCAAGCATAAGGACCCGAGTTCGATCCCTGGTACCAAAAAAAAAAAAAGAAAACATCCTTGCATTTAAACTAAATGTAGGCAACTCTCCTTCCTTTACTACCTGTTTGGAAATTTCTTTATAATTGGGACCATATAGTAGAACTGTGACCACAAACACAAGTTCCTCCAATACCTGCTTCATTCTCTGTGGATTTTTTTTTTTTTGTACCGGTGATCGAACTCAGGACCTTGCGCTTTCAAGGCAGGCACCGGAACCACTGAGCTAAATCCCCAGCCCCATTCTCTGTGGATATTAAAAGCTGGACCGTGAGGATTAAGTGGAGCCATGCTGGGCATCCTCTTTACAGTCCTACAAATCACTTCAAGGAGCATAGAGACACTTTCCATGCCACCTTACCAAGAATCAGAAGGGTGATTCCATTGAAAACGGCACCAACATAGGTCATCAGCCACATGAACACAGCCAGCTGTGAAAGCCAAGATCAGAAGGTTAAGCAGGAATAACCACACGGCAAAATTCAAGCTAACTGATATCATTCTCCTCTAGCTAAATCTGCATAAGGCAGTAATGTAGACATAATTTCAAAATGAAGGTTCCCCTACCTGCACTATATATTTGAGGGTGTGTGAGAGAATTCTTAGGTTCCCAGGTGGACTGTAACTGCACTGCTGCTTACTGTTATCACTGTTCTGATGTTTGCTCTCTGGTAGGAGATGGCAGCTTTCTCTACTGACTCCTACACCTCCATTTTTACAGGTTGATGGAGATAAACATATGTTCATTTTTGTCTGATAAAATTTTATGCACTGTTTTCTCTCTGAATTAATCCCTGGCTTTTCTAAGTCTCACTATCAAAAGCTGCAGAAAAAACTAACCTTCAAGGAGTCAACCAGATCTTCCACCAGAAAGAGACGAATGATGAGCTTCAGGGCCCTGTTGACGTGCACCATTGCAGCATTCACATAATTATGGAATGCTTCTGAGGACAGGGTAATGTCCAAGTCCAAGTAGGCTCTTCCAGGGAAAGAAACAATAGTCACATGTCAGTATAGCAGCTCTTCAATGTGAAAATAGTCCTCAGGGTGCATTTTAGAAATCTGTATGGGCATTTTTTGCCGTCGTGGAGTTAGAACAATACTGTCATTTATTTTTTATTTTTTTAATGTAAATTGAAACTTTAGTAAGATCTTGCTGAAATTAGTTTAATAGTTGCAGGATTCTAAAATATTTGCTAGATACAACAATGACAAAAATATATAATATATAATATAATAAAAATTACAAATAGAAACCTGGCTAAGTGTAGAACTTGAAACAAAGAGATTCTATAAAATCACTGTACAGTTAAGGCAGCAAACAATCTAAGGAATTCTGAGTCTATTTTCAAAAGCAAAAACATTCCTTATAGAAAAACAAGTTATAGATATTTGAACACTATTAGAAAAGAGTTCTCTATTCTGCCCTATGTTTCATTTACAAGTTTATGTAATCTCATGGAAGAAATGAAAAATATTGCAAACAAAATGCTTTAAAACCATAGCAATCAGAAAAATTTATATCATTGGTGTTAATTCTAAAAATAATCTATCACATAGTAAAAATAATCCTGTCAAACAGGAATATTTTCCAGACTCAGCTATGCACAAATCTCAGGCACAATGTTACCAGATTCTACAGAGCAGCAGACAACAAATGAACACATGCTTATGAAGAAAGTTAATCTACACTGGATCACCTTATTTCATGGGAAATTTTAAACTATTTTCTATTTTCCCCCACAAAATCAGACAAACGTTAGACTGACCACTACAAAATTCTGGTTCAGTGAAATCTGAAGTAATGAGGTTTAACAATACCTTTTAAGTGATGATTCTATGTTCAACAACACACACAGTATCAGGATTACCACTTTCTAATCCTGCCTATAAAACAACCACAACCCCAACATACCAAATGTGGCACATACAAATTCACTTTGAAGGACTTGCAGCTTTCAATACAAATGTAGTAAGTCTACTCAGTTCACCATTCTCTAACTAAAATAACTTTAAAAAAATGACCAGAATTCTCAAAATGTTGAGCTCTTCCTAGAAACTGACCTTTGTTGTGAAGAGATTACAAAATAGAAACTTAGACCACACATCTATATCATTCATTTCATTTTTCAGGATCAACCTTAAACGCAATGTTTTTAAATTTTCTTTTTAGAATGAAAATATCAGTAGCATTTATTACTAAACTAGACAGTAAGATCTGAGTTTCCAAGTGTGGACCCTCTGAATTGTCAACTGTCACTCTCAATAAGACTGGGAGTAACGTAGGAGCTTCTCTTTATGGAATGCCTTGTAACAGTAGTTGTTATTATGAAATGCCTAGGATACCTCAAAGATCCACACCACATATACCTTCAATTTCCCAGAAACTCTAGTTGGAAATGGGTGGGATTACACCAACTTAAAGTGGAAATACTAACCCTCTCATAACTGTTGGAAGTGTGCTTCATATTAATGTCTCTTTTGCTTGCTCCATAGTGGGAAAATGGAAACTTTTCCTTTCACTAATAGCTATAGTTCCAAAATTGGTAAAGAAAAATGCTGGAAACTATTGTTCAAAGATAATTAAAATAAGATGAGGAGGGGATCCAAAGGTTTATAGAAACTAGAAACAACTGAAAGAGGATACTAGGAGAACAGTAGGTACAGTGGCCAAAATAGAACCTGGCCATTAGAGTACTTCTGAGCCTCATCTTTATGTCCACAGGCTCTTACTACAACTTAAACCACACCTGGATGAATCCTAATTCTTTAAAACGTTTCCCTGCAAATATGACTTATTGTAATGTCTTTAAAAACTGGCATAATTCTGCCGAAATACTGTCATTTAATGAGCAGAGGCAAAAATGCCCCAAGGGCTTGGTGGACATGCTTGTAATCCTACCACTCAAAAGGCTGAGGGAGGAAGATCACAAGTTTGAGCCCAGACTGAGCAATTTAACAACTAAGCAAGACTCTGTCTCAAAAAAATGTAAAGGGCTGGGGATGTAGCTCGGAACACCCCAGGTTCGATCCCCAGTATCTTAAAAAGAAAAGCCAGATGCCTGCAAAGTATGACAGTCACTCACAAAGAAAGAATTGTCCTATATTATGCATCATTGGATAAAGCCATATTTTGTTTATGCTAAAACGCCACTAAATTTTTATTTATTTATCATTTTGGAAAATCACATCTGTATTGCTGATAATTTGGGTAGTTGCAAGTATCTACTTCCTTATGCTTTTCTGGTGTAGTCCTTTCAAAGCAATTAAATACTGACTGAAATACCTATTACTCTGTTGTAAGTGACTTTCTATGTTATCACATCTCTATAATAATTGATCTATATATTTTGAAATTATGTTTGTAGATATCATCTACACATTTTACTTCAGAATGATAAAGGAGGCTTTGAAAATATGTCAAGTAAACAAAAAGAAGAACAAAGATAATGAATTCGATAGGGGTGAGAACTACAGAATACAGGAAGATTTGAGTTCTGATCCCAGAGGCACTATAGAATGAGATATAACCACGGCTAATTTACTCAGTATTTACAGAGTGCCCACAGTACACGAGTCATCCTGCAAGAAGAGATGCGGACAGGGAAGGTAAGGCTATTTTCACATCACAGAACCCAGAGTCTCAAGGGAAAAATGGCAAAGTAATAGGCATGTTTTTCCTTTGTATTTAATTTTTTTTTTTGGTACTGGGGATCGAACTCAGGACCTTGTGCTTGCAATGCAGGCGGTGGAAGCACTGAGCTAAATCCCTGGCTCTCCTTTGTATTTAATGAGAAAATATTTAATATCAAATACAAAAGTTTTTAAAACTAGGTATTTTAATTTTTTAAAATAAATTTTTTGTCCCATCCCCCATAGGTATTATAATTAATACAGCTTAACAAAACACATTTTAGGAATCCACAAATGTCATGCAAAAAGGGGGGAATGCATTAAGACATCTGAGCTTCTAAAACAGTACACTTTATTTCACTCATTCATTCTATAACTACTGATTCATTAAAACTAATTTTCAATACCACATATAATTTAAGTTATTCCTTCTGTTTTCACTTTAAGAAAGTTCAAGCAGCAGCAGGGCAGCCAGAGACTATTCTTGTGATAGTACTGACAAGATTACAGCAAGGTCTCCTTCTTTATGAGAATATGACTTTTTTGATTTTTTGGTACTGGGGATTGAACTCAGGTCCTTGTGCTTGTGCAGCAGGCGGCGAAACCACTGAGCTAAATCCCCGGCCCCCCTATAACTCTTTTGAGTTTTAGTCAGGTCCAATTTTTAGACCTGATCAGCCTCATCAAACCCCTCCACTCAAATGTGCAATGTCGCTTGTAATACTTCAACTCACTTGAATGGATGGCCTTCTTCTGACTTCTGCACAGCTTGGATGACAGACTTATAGACTCTGAAGCTGATGGTGACAGAGAGAAGAGCCAGGATGAGGTAAGACACCACACTGATGACACTGAAGGCTGCCAGGGAAAGCAGCATGATCAGTGTGGTGCCAAAGACAAACCCAGTCTTCTTCACGTCTCGCCAGAAAATCAGATCGTGCACTGCCAGGAGAAACAGAACATAAGTCACAGAAGCCAGTATGCCTCTCTGGTTGTGTCTTACACCCATTGGAAGCATTCTGCTAGCACAGAGGTACAGGTGTCCACCCCATTTCAAGTTTTTTCCCAGCTACTTAAGTCTACTGGGGTGAAGCATCAGTGACCTTAAATGTTTTCAAAGGAAGGATGACAGAGCAAGGATGCAAGATCTTCCTAACTATTGACTAAATTAAACAAACAAGCTGGGTGCAGTGGTATGCGCCTATAGGATGGTCACTTGAGCTCAGGATTTCAAGGCCAGCCTGGGCAATACAGTGAAACTCAGTCTCAAAAGACTAACAAAGCCTATAAACTGGTTAGGTCAACACACATTTATTAAAACCAAAATTAATCAGAAATGTATAAATTGTGGTAAGGGCAAAGAAGGTGGTGATAAAAACAGACCAATCTCCGTTATTCCTAGGTACAAGGTAACAACAGTCATAGGGTTAATCTGGAGAGAACTCAGGAAGGATTATGAGTAGTGGACCATACAACCATCCACACTATACTTTTTTTTAACTTTAAGAGATCAGGTCGGGGCCGGGGATTTAGCCCAGTAGTGGTGCCACCACCTGCCTTGTAAGCGCAAGGTCCCTAGTTCAATCACCGATAAAAAAAAAAAAAAAAAAAAAAAAAAGAGAGATCAGGTCTTACTAAGCTGCCCAGGCTAGGTCCATATTCTTGGGCTCAAGCAATCCTCCTGCTTCAGCCTCTTGAGTAGTTGGGACTGCAGGTGCACACCACCACGTCAGGTCAAACTTAAATACTTTTTTCCCCCTGTACTGGGAATCGTACTCAGGACCTTGCACTTGCTGGGTAGGTGTGGTGCCACTCAGCTATATCCCTGGCCCCAAACTTAAATACTTTCAGAATGATTTTTTTTTTTTTTTTTTTTGGGTACCGGGGATCGAACTCGTGTCCTTACACTTGTGAGGCAGGCAGCAGAACCACTGAGCTAAATGCCCAGCCCACTTAAATACTTTTAAAAGTGAGTATTTAGGGCCGGGGATTTAGCTCAGTGATTCTGCCACCTGCCTCGCAAGAGTACCCCCCCAAAAAAGTAAGTATTTAAAGGTGGTGGTGGTGGGGATTTAGCTCAGGAGCACTGTGCCTGCCTTGAAAGTGCAAGGTCCTGAGTTCGATCCCTGGTATAAATAAATAAATAAATAGATAGATAGATAGTGAGTGGGGGCACAATAATTATATCTAGAAATAGGTGTAAATGAAAATCATCCCAGGCAACCAGATCTTAGTTGGGCATGTCCAAGACACTTCAAAAACTAGACAGCAGCAGCTGGAAACTACCTCCAACCATTTGCATTTCAATCTGTGAAGCCTAACACTCAACACTAACAAGCCCCACAGTGACTTTCATCCCAGAGAATCTGCATACAAAAAAACCCAAGGCTTCTGGCTTTTAACCATCTCTTTTTATTCCTTACTTACATTTTGGGTTTCTCATGTAAGAGAAACCATGCAGTATTTAACTTTTTGTGTCTAACTTATTTCATTTAGAAGGAGATGGGAAGGGGGTTAGGGTAAAGGGATCAAAAAAAGATCAAGAGGCCAGGGATTTAGCTCAGTGGTCCTGCCACCTGCCTTGCAAGCACAAGGACCTGAGTTCGATCCCCGGTACCAAAAAAAAAAGATCAAGATATGATATATACATGTACCAACAAATTCCCAAAAAGAATGTTAACCACTGTATTGCGTGTACACACACACACACACACACACACACACACACACACGGCCAGGGATTTAGCTTAGTGGCACCGCGTCTGCCTCGCAACAACAAGGTCCTGAGTTTGATACTTGTGTGTATGTGGGGGAGCAAGGCTTTTGGAGTTAGAGACAAGAGTTTGAGTCTTGCTAATTTTTTTTTTTTTGGTACCGGAGATAGAACTTGAGACCTTGCGCTTGGGAGGGAGGTGCCGGAACCACTGAGCTAAATCCCCAGCCCGAGTCTTGGATTAATCATATTGCTTTAAACTTTTTAAGATTCCAGATTCTCAACTGTAAAATAAAAACGGAAACTATTTCCTTGAGTTGTTTTCAAGGTAATTCTAAGAGAATACACGCAGTGAACACTCAGATTTTATCTATACTCAAAACACACCCTGAAAGTCCTCGATCTGGGATATTGAATCTGAGCCTGATTCAATAACACCCTGTTCTTTCCCATGTTTGGCTCTAATACTCTTCCCTCTGAGACCACTTCTTGGAAGCCTAATCTTGTCAAAACTTGAAGGTACTTAACTCAAAACCAAGAAAACACTAAAAATAAGCTGATTGTATACAAGAAATAATCACTAGTTCAGAGATTCTGGGTAGGGAATATGATTTACTAGGAGAAAGAAGAAACACAATTCCTGGAAGGAGTCTCAGGTAGTGGTGCCGCAGATGAGGGAGAAAAGTGGAGGCAACTCAGGCATGTGCAAATGAACCAGGACTGAATGAGAGCCAAACAGAATGCTGCTACTTTAGAGAGGGAGCACTGAGCGGGAGAATTCCTCCAGTCAGAGTTCATGTGGCTACAAGAAGAGTTTCAACACGGAATGCTAAGAGCAACGACAGCAAAACTTTTAGAGATGAGTGCCTGAACTGCAACCCAAAACCCACTTACTGCAAAGTGGTAACACTTTGTAATTAAACCTGAATACTTACTGTGTTTTAGCTTACAAAAAACAAAACAAAACAAAAACCCCTCATATATTAACATATTAACATCTTCTGTCTTTTTTTTTGTTTTTTGTTTTTGGTACCGGGGATCGAACTCGGGTCCTTGCGCTTGCGAGGTAGGCGACAGAACCACTGGGCTAAATCCCCAGCCCCTGCATCTTCTGTCTTAAAAGAAAACAACATGAGTAAGAAGGACACAACATCACTTCCATGGTACCCTGTCCCAAGTTATAACCTGAATCTATGGAGAAAATATCAGACAAAACCAGCTGAAGAAAGAGTCTACAAAGTAACTGATATTCTTCAAACCTATAATGGAAAAAAAATAAAGAGGAAGTAAAAGATAGGACAGCACCTAAATGCAAAGTATGGACCCACAACTGGACCCTAGAAAAGGGGATAAAAAATAGCCAGAGACATCACTGGGACAACTTAAAAACCTGAATGTCCATGAACTGATAAAAAGTACTACACTGATTTTTTTCTTTTTCAGTAGGGGAGATTGAACCCAGGGGCATCCTGTCACTGAGTCTCAAATTTACATTCTGCCTGCCTCAGCCTCCCGAGAAGCTGGTATTATACATATGCTCCACCTTGCCCAGATTGCATGAATGTTCAAATTCAGTAAGTGTACTATGGGTATGTGAAATAACAAAGTTCTTGTTTCAAGGAAACACATTCCAAAGTATTCCAGAGTGTTCAGAAAAAAAATGTATCTATACATAAAGGGAATGAGTAACAAAGCACATGTGGCCAAAAGTTAACAATTGGTGAGCTAGTAGTGTTAAGCCATGGACTTACGGGACTCTTCTGTACTATACTTCCAATTCTTTTGTAAATGTGAAAGATTTGAAAAAAAGAAAAAGCTTTGAGGATAAGCTTAGAAGATAAATCTCTTGATTTATCAGAGAAGAACAAGCAGATAAACAGCTAACAGGCAAATTAGAAATTTTTACCTCTGTGTAAGTTGGCAGATCACCAGATCCTCATTAACTTTGCTGCCATCTGCTGGCAAACGGTCGGAAGAACTCGTCAAACCTACTGTGCTAACAAATGGTAGCCAGTACTGCTCCCTAGAGGCGAGTGGAATATGCAATAGTACAGAAAGCCTGGGCTTTCAGCCTTAAACAGTGGAATTATGGTCTAGGCTAGAAAGGGGCTATCCGGACTGAAAGGGGTGTAACAGAAATAGAGCTTGGAAAAGATGGCCCAATACATGACACCTCGCAAGTCCTGGCTCAGGGTACCTCCTCAGAGACTGCCTATCCTCTCTAACATCCCACCCTTTCACCATTCTACTTCAGTATGCAGTTTTTTGTTTTTTGGTTTTTTTTTGTACCGGGGATCGAACTCAGGTCCTTGTGCTTGCGCAGCAGGCAGCGAAACCACTGAGCTAAATCCCCGGCCCAGTGCGCAGTTTTTTCTTCACAGCACCTACAACTTTAGTTGCAGAAAACTCTTGATATCTGTTACTACACTTCAGCATGGGGCCAGCTAATGACCCACAGACAGCATAACTGCAACTTCCATGTTTCTTGATAAGTCTACGGAACATAAATCTACCAGGTACAGAAGACTAAAGGGTTCTAAGTACAGAACAACATCTGATGGTGCACTTACAGGGAAACAAGCAGTATGAAAAGTGCCTGTATTAGTGAAAAAGAAAAATCACAAATCAGCAAAGTTTCAATCTTAGGAAACTAGAAAGAAGAAAAATGGGAGGATGGGAAAGATGGCTCCATGGCAGCATGCTTAGCATATACAAGTCCTTGTTTTCAACCCTCGGCACCACCACAAAATAAATTCAAACGTCAACAAATTTAAGCTGGGTATGGATTGCCAGGACTAATCCTGGGTATGGTAGAAAGTACATATTGTAGTATCTTGTTTTACAGATGAGGAATCCAAGGCAGAGAGGTTAAGTGTCTTGCCCCAAATGGAGAAAGAAGGAAATAGAAAATGGAAACACTGCCAGTTCAGAACCAGAGTCTATGTTCTGCTGTACGGTCTAAAGCAGGGGATAAAATGGGTCACTGAGTAGGCATTTGCAGCCAAGTGGAAGCCATAAAACTTTAAAGAGAGAGCTGGAATAATACTTAAAAATAAACATCTAATACATAGTTTTCTGTTGCCAGACTTTTTTTTGGCGGGGGGGTGGGGGGTGGGGTGGGGCGGCGCAGTACTAGGAATTGAACCAGGGCCTTCACAGTAAGCTATATTTTCATTGTTCTATTATGATGTGATGTGATGTTATGACAGGGTCTTGCTGAGTTGCCCAGGCTGGGCTTGAATTTGTAATCCTCCTGCCTCAGCCTCCCAGTGTGCCAGGATTATAGGTGTGGGCCACCATGCCCAGCTTGTTTATAGATTTCCTATGCCATCTCATTGCTTTGTTGTCTGTTAGACCAGCACACACCACCCTAACAGTGGCAGCTTTGATCTTTATATTTATTCGTCCTTTCTTCTCTCTAAAAGTTGTTTTGGCTCTTCTAGGTCCTTTGTATTTCCATAGAAATTTTAGAATAAATTTGTCCTTTTATTAAAAAAAAAAAGTATACTGGGGGGCCTGGGATTTGGCTCAATGGTTCTGCCTCCTGCCTCACAAGCGCAAGGTCCCGAGTTCGATCCCTGGTACCAAAAAAAAAAAAGTATGCTGCGATTGGAATTGGAATTACACAATCTGGGGGTGATTAACATTTTAGCAAAATTGAGTCTTTTAACCCATGAAAATAGTGTAGCTCTGCACTAGTTTAGGTTTTTATCTTTGGATTCATGTTTTAACCTCTGTACCATGTTATTTTTGAATCATTAATGATCATATTTATTACAAGTTTAAACATCTAAGTACAGAGAACTATTTTTTCTTTTCTTTTCTATATTTAGGGCAAGACACTTAACCTCTCTGCCTTGGATTCCTCATCTGTAAAACAAGATACTACAATATGTACTTTTAGTACATGTTGCCAGGATTAATCTATACAAGTGCTTAGGCACTGCTGAGAAGGTAGTAATACAATGCTAGTTACCTATTATTCCATTTACCGCCAATCTCTGCTACGGTTATCATGGAAAACTGAAGAATTAAAGTTAAAAGTCTGCTACACAGCAGTTAAGATTTTTTTTCCTTTTCTCTGTGTTCTGAAAAGGATACAAAGAAATTAAGACTGGAAGCTTTTCTAGAAGGGACTTTTAACTAAATGTATTTTACAAAGCATTCCACATAACATTTCCTCTGAAAAAAAGGGCTGCACTGTCAGCAATACGATTGAACAGAGTGGTGTGTAAAAGGCTGGAGGGAGGAAGAAAGCTAGAAGGTAAAGCACAGCTGTAGGGCAGAGGGCAGAACTTGCAGAGTTCTCACTGTAGGTAGTCATGTGAAGCTATGCAAACAGAAGAGATCCCTTAGGGGCATCTCACAACACCTCAAGTTCCACAAAGCAAAGAAAACATCTTCCCCTAACACTGTCCCCTGATCATAACTGAAGGCAGAAATAAGGAAATAGGACATACTTTTCTTCTCCCTTATTACACTCAAATGCCAGGGCTAAGTTTTTGATTCTATACAGAAAAATAAGATCTTAATTTTGATTAGTTTTCAATGAAGATGCTTACACATCTTTATAACTACAATTTATATGAGCAAACTAGAGAAGACTGTCACAACTCAAAGCTCTAGTCACAGAAATTAGGAAAACAATTCCTTGGGCCGGGGATTTAGCTCAG